CCTCCTCCTTCCTCCTCCTCCTTCCTCCTTCTTCTTCCTCCTCCTTTTGCTCTTCCTTTCTCCTCCACCTACTCCTTTTTTCTCCTCCTCCTTCTCCTCCTCTATCTTCCTCTACTTTTTCTTCCTTTTCTTTTTCTTTTCCTTGACATCCTACTTCTCTTCTGCCTTCTCCTCTTCCTCTCCCTGTTCCTCCTTCCTGATCTTCTTGAAAACAGATTTTTCCCTCCACACATGATATATCCTAATGACATTTTCCCCTCCCATTACATCTCCCAGTTTCTTCCTACCTCCCCTCCCATTTGGATCTACCTCCTTCATGTATCTCACTAGAAAACACATGGAAATTTGACAAAACAAACAAGCAGAAAGAAAAGAGCTCAAGAGAAAGCAGAAGAAATAAAAATCTACCAGTCCATACACCCAGGAATCCCAGAAAACCTCCACACTGGAAGCTATATCATATACACAATAGATCTGTGGGATACAAAGACAGAAGAAAATATATTAATATAATAAAATAAAAATAAGCAAAAAGGAAAAGTCTTTACAGAATATTATGAGACAAGGAATCTCTAAAATGCCACTGAGTTTGTTTCTGTCACTGTCTGCTGCTGGATATACAGCCTACTCTTAAGAGAAGTTTGTTTCCACCTAGTGAGACTTAAAGAAAACTAAATTTTTTTTGCAAATGGTTATCAGTTGGAGATTGCTTCTGTGTTAGGGAATTTACATTGTGGGTTGCAGGTCTTTCTAGGTATTGGGAAGCCAACACTCAGAAGTGGGAATGGTATCTAAGGAGGCTACTCTGCAGATTCACAGGAGGGAGTAAAACAGCATTATACCAGAATCTACTTAGTCGTCTGGGAATGGAGATAGAGAGTGAGGAGAGGCCAGAGCTGAGGATGAGACTGGGGAATTGGATTTGGAAGAGAAGAGCAAGAATGAAGATGTGGAGCTTGCCTACCTGCCTCGCTGGCCTACTTACATCTATGTGAAGCTGGGAGTTGGGTTCCAGTTTCCAGAGAATGCCTCCTGGATAGGAGTCTAGGGTCAACAGGAGGAGTGGCAAGGAAACTTGGAAGAGAAGATCTGCATGACTATTCGTACATAGGGAAAAGCAGACTGGAGGCTGCAGCAAATGATCTGCTACAGAGAGGAGAGAGAGAGAGACTAGGAGATTAGATTTGGAGGAAAGGAAGGATGGGTGAGGTTAAGCTATCTGGCCCCCTGGCGGGAGTGTTGTGTGGCTTCCCAGGGAATGCCTGCTAGAGCTGGAAATGGGTATAATGCAATAAGTAGGAGCAGCTCTGTGTGATCCAGTGGAGATGGGGCAGGAAGAGAGTAGAGGCCACACAGCTACAGAATTGGGGATGGCAGGCTATATGAACTGGGGTTGAAGATATATAGTTAGCCTACCTGCTTTCCTGGCCTGAGTAGCCTGCGAATTTCTGGGGAATGCCTGCTGGTGTCGGGGGCTACTTCCCTGATTGGACTCAACAGATATGCAGACTTTTGGGAAGCTGGTATACATGTGAATTAACATGATGTATAACAATTATTATATATTCTATAATTGTTGATGTGGCTTTTTTGTAGCATTTACTGAGTATTTCGTATCTGAAATCACTGTACTTATAACATCTACATTGTACTTAGTAGCATCTGTTTAGTGAGTAACATTTATTGCTTTACTCTGAGACTAAGGACACAGGCTTATCAAGATAAGTTACTCA